AGACTTATATTCACGTTCAAGAGACATTTGCACGCACGTCATATTTTATATAAGAAGCTCTCTGGGGTGAGCTCATTATCATACGAACCAATCAGAGCCGTTCAATGGCTCTGGAACCAATCAGGTTTAGTCAGTGGGTTGTTTGAATTTAAACAAGTACACGCAAGGCGTATGCTTGTGTTTAGCATATTCCTTAAAATTGTAACTAAGCATATATTTATTACCAAAGTATTTCTTGTATACTTTTTATAAATACATTAAAAGTATGCTTCTGTTTAGCATATTTCTTAGAAGTATAACTAAGCACATATTTAATACAAAAGTATTTCTAGTATACTTTTTAGAAATATATTAAAATGCAATTCAATATATTTTTTATTGCACTTCAAATAAGCATGTTGGGAATACAAATGTATTATAAACATACTACTTGAATTTCAAGTATATTTTTAATACATTTAATACTACGTCTTTTTCACCTGGGTATGGTTATGGATATTTATCTTATGGGTGTGTTTAAAACAGTAGCATCAACCCTCCTGTGTAATGGTGATGCCAGGTTTCCTTTAATATAAATGAATCCACAAAATTGGATTATCAAGACACCAAACTAACAAGCTTGAGAATCCTTCTATAACTACAAAATGTTGCTATGATGAAGCTGTTTTATTTTTGATACTTGTGGTATTCCTAATATATTTTTGAAATGCTTAACAGGGGAATGACAGACGCAGACAAACAAGCAATCGAGTACTGCTTTTCAAACAACAATTTGTCGTGCATCAAGGAAATCAAATCTCAAGTGGAGTGCATTGTTTTATACATTTTTATTTCTTTAGCCTCTGTTCTTACTGTGTTTCTGAATCTGCTGGTGATCATCTCCATCTCTCACTTCAAGCAGCTGCACACTCCAACCAACCTGCTCATTCTCTCTCTGGCTGTGGCCGACCTACTTGTTGGACTGATTGTTATACCACTGATGGGAATCAGATATATTGAGACATGTTGGTACTTTGGAGAGACATTTTGTTCTTTGTTTCCATTTATCCTTTATACTGTTGTTTCAGCATCTCTTGGTAATTTAGTTTTCATATCTATAGATCGTTACATTGCTGTGAAAGATCCTCTGCAATATTCAACAAGGGTCACAACCAACAAAGCTGTTTTTTGTATCATTTTAAACTGGCTATGTTCAAGCATATATTCAGTTATCATGCTATACGATGCTATCTTCAGTACAGAAACCCTAATAACATGTTACGGGGACTGTATTGTTACTGTTAAGTTTGAGTATGTTCTCACAGACCTCATTGTTTCATTAGTGGCCCCTTGTTCAGTAATCATATCTTTATATGGGCAGATCTTCTGTGTAGCAAAATATCAAGCTCGGCTTATAAACTCTGTCACAAATGTCAGCAAGTCAGAAAAAAAGGCAGCAAAAACACTGGGGATTGTGATAGCAGTTTATCTTCTGTGTTGGATACCATATTACATGGTCTCTCTTTTTCCAGGATACGATTCAAATGAATCAGCTGTAATGAATATTATGTGTTGGATTATGTATTTGAATTCTTGCATGAATCCTCTTATCTATGCATTATTTTATCAATGGTTTAGAACATCAGCTAAACACATTCTGTCTCTGAAAATATTTGAACCATCTTCAGAATATTTAAGTCTGTTCCCAGAGGTAAATGATTAGTAATCTTTAATGTTAAAACTGATTTCAATATGTATTTTGCTGGCCAGACTGCAGTAATTCACTTTATGTACTGCAACATTTATCAACAAAACCTCCTGCTGTTTGATAGCACTTTTAAAGACAGCCCACTGTAAAACTGCAGCAGATACAACTGTGTCAGGAAATAAATAAGAGATAAATAACTGTAATACAAACTATTACTCCATGTGTCTCCTGTTCCCTTGATGATATGGTTTCCTCTGAATCCCAAAACATACAGAACATAAAAAGTGGGGGGAAAAAATGTGATTCCGTTATATTCCTGAGACCTATTAAAAAGGTTCAGCATTCAAATCTTTCTACATCTTTATTGTTACAACATTACTCAGATATTTAAAAAAAATAAAAAATAAATAACGATAATAAAAATCAGCTGTGTGCAAGATACAAGCAACAAAAAAAAAACTTAATGAGTAAATATTTATTAAAAAAAATTCACATTTACTTTAGTTTTCTGTTTGAAACTTACAAAGTATTCTAATGATTCTATATATAAGCATCAAAATGTAGAACATTTCTTCACTATAAATAATCAGATTAATACTGCTTCAATCAACAATTATGGGAATACTGTGGCAGTCTGTGGTGCTGTAACCAAATTCGCCCAGAGCAATGTGGCAATGACATCTAAAGGTTTGTACAACCAGAAGTACAAGATTTGTAATCTGCCATCTCCTTCACTAGTGACTATCCTGAGCAGCAAAAGAGAGGAAAATGAAAAAGAATTTAAAAAAATGAAGAGAGACAGAGAGATAGCAGGCCCAGGCAAAAGATACACTATAATATTACCATTTGCTTACTAGGATGTTGTTTGCAAATTTTTCCAAAATGCATGGCTATTAAAAACTGCCCATCAGTGGAAAAATTATCTGTTTGCTTCCAAATGGTGTAATTATGACATCTACCAGCAGGAGCTAACAGGGCTACCCTCACGCAAAGAAAATATATTTTCTAATATATGAATGAACAATATATAAAATGATATAACGGTATATTAGAAAATATACAGAATAATATTTTGTGTAAATATATTACGATATATTGAATAATATAAGGGATTGCCGCTTTCATTTATTGAAAAATGTGACAATATATTTACTTATATATCATAATGTAATTTTATATTCAGTAATACACTTTATAATATATAGATGTACATGTGATAAGATATGGTACTGCATATGTAGAAATATAATGAACATATATTTACTCATGCAGTATATACACACACATATTGAAATATATATTTATTATGTATAACAATAATTTACAATATACATTTTGTTTTTAATATAGCTAGTTTACAATAGCATAAGCACACCAACTCATACTATAGCACTTAATGAACAGACTATCACTGTGCTGAAAAGTGCACATCCATTACTTTTAAATAAAGTAATATACAGTCATATTGGTGTTTGGCCAATCATCATCCTAACCACAGGCTCTACTCTTCAGCACAATGGTAACCCCACAAACTTACACATACCAGAAAACCCTTTTAAATTCAAAAATAATACAACATTAAACACCAACATATCTCCCCCTATAATAATATTGAGCAAAAACACATGAAATAACACTTAATGTTAAAATGTTTACTCTCCAGTCAGAAGCAAAGCATGCATTGGAACTAGAAATCAGCTGTAACTCATTCAGTGAATGTGTGTGTATATGTGTGTGCATGTATTCACATATATATGGCAACATGTATGTGCAATATATACTCAATAAAGGATCAAACATTAAATCTTCATTTCTAAATATATTTTTACAGTATGTATCAGTATATAGCCATACATTGCCAATGGATATATTGCTGTATATTGAAAAATATAAGCATTAGTTTCCCATATTGATTCGCAATGGCGCCGACGCTGATGGCTGCCTCCATGGCGTGCTCTGCAGTTGTTTTTAGGTTTTTGTTAGTTTGTCCTGTCTTTAGTTATATCCCTGCAATCAGTTTCACCAGAGACGAATTGCTGGACATTCAGAAGTACACACCACCCGATATTTCACCGGTTTTCGACTATTCTGATGTTTTGCTGGACATTGTAGTCGGGGGAGCTGCGGCGCTGATCAAGCGCTTCAGGGCGCGCAGACGGGGGAAGCGAGCTGGCGCCCTCGTGAAGCTCAGGCAGCGCGGATTCAAAACGCCGTTGCCTAGCATCCATCTGGTGAACCTCCGCTCTCTACCCAACAAAACGGACGAAATTCCCATATATTTTTGTTACGTAAGGGTATGCAATCCAGACAAACTTGGCAGTCTTGTAGGTGAAGCTCTTTAGTGCTGATGGAGTGCAAATGCTCAAGTAGATGGCGCTGTTAATAAATTGAACAAATTTAAGTACCCAAAGATGTTTTGGAGTTAAAGAGCCCAAAATTTGTGCCATAAATGTTTGGACTAACTTCAATCAGTGTGTGAACTGATTATAAAGCGTTCTGTGAGATGCCATTGACTGCAAATCAGAAGAACTATACAAAAGGTGCTTTGGTGCTTGGCCCCTGGTTAAACCTTTTGCTTGTTTATGGATATCTTTATGAAAGTCTTTAAAGACAGAAAATTAAAAAATATCACAGTACAAATATTTTCTAGTATTCTCAAGAATAATACGAGGAATAAAATCAGATAAAGCTAATGTGGGGAGACAAAGAAAGTTTCAGAGTGCAATTCATATTCATGGCTATATAACTGCAGCTAAAAATTTATATTTGCTTAGTATACCGTTTATGATGTTCATTGAGAGAATGACATTCACTGACTTTAACATTCCAGTCTTGATTTCCAAACAACATTATCCATCAGTGAGCATACTGATTCAAATATTCGAAGGAGTTATGTTTAAATTATATTTTATAGCTGTTAAAATAAAGCAAAGAGGATTCAGATATTAGGTCAGCATACAAGGTCCACGTTATAATTTTTGACGTGGTAGACGAGATTACTGTTTTGTTTTGTTTTTTATATATATTTTTTTCAACATACAAGGTCCATGTTAAAAATTGTAATATGGTCAAGAGAAAACAACTGTTTTCTGTTAAATACAAGAATCCAGCAGATAACTGTCACAATGATTCCTAATGTCACGGTCGATTTGCTCTCAGATTTCCTCCTCACCTAACTTTCCTTTACACATTTACCAACCTACATCAAGGAGTTTATAACATTCATTTGCTGATGTACAATAAAGAATGCCTTCAAATACAAAGTAATATTCACTGTACAAAGAAAAATATATCAGATCAGTGACTGAATTGATCATTTATCCTCTGGGAAAAGACTGAAGTATTCAGATGATGGTTTAAATATTTTTAAAGTCACAATGTGTATAGCTGATATTCTAAACCATTTATAAAACAGTGCATAGATAAGTGGATTCATACAGGAATTCATGTACAAAATCCAGCATGTTACATTAAGTTCAACCGATTCTGTTGACTCATTTCCTTCAATAAGGATGACTACATAGTAAGGTATCCAACACATGAAGAAAATGGCAACAACAATCCCCAGAGTTTTTCCTGCCTTCCTTTGTGATCTGCTGACACCTGTGACAGAATTTACAACCTTGGCCTGGTATTTTGCAACACAGAAGATTTTCACATATACAGTGGGTACAGAAAGTATTCAGACCCCCTTAAATTTTTCACTCTTTGTTATATAAAAAAAAAAAAACAACTTTATCAGTTGTGACCCTTACTGTGTATCTCAAAGGGTCACTCACAGCAATGTAACGATCTACGGATATAAAGACTAAATTACGAAGAGATGCTGAAACAACCACAAAAACGGTAAATAAAAATAGAGAACAAAATGTCTCTCCAAAGTACCAGCATGATTCTATGAATCTGATGCCCATTAACGGTATAACAATCAGTCCCACGATCAGGTCGGCCACAGCCAGAGAGAGAATGAGCAGGTTGGTTGGAGTGTGGAGCTGCTTGAAGTGAGAGATAGAGATGATCACCAGCAGGTTCAGAAACACTGTAAAAACTGATGCTAAAGAAATGAAAATGAACAAAATAACATACTCCACTTCAGGTTTGATATCTTTGAAACAAGACAAATTGTTATTTGGAAAGCAATACTGGATTTCTTGACTGTTGTCCTCCATGATGCTCAATTTTCACAATTGATTATGTCCTCATTTGTAACCTGCCCCTGATGTTCACTCCGTTCTTCATCAACAGATCACTTTGAAGCTGTGGTACAATGTTCAGTCTGTCAGTTTGGCTTTCTGCCTTCCTTCACTGCCTTGACTAATTTGTATGTACAGAAACAGGGACATCCCATGAAATGTGAGGTTTATTTATACTGCATTAAACCCACCTACTACTTAAATATTCATAGTATTCAGTGATGAATCAGATAATATGTAATATTGCTGTCAACATTTGAATTTAAGATGTTTTTGCAGGTGCACATTAATATCTGGTATAGAGAAATTATGATCATGTAGATGTACATTTAAAGGGGTCATATGATGCGATTTCAAGTTTTCCTTT